TCCAGTCTTTTGTCTCTGCCACATCTCCCCATGGCAGGACTCCCAGGATGCTCACACTGTCTGGCTTTTACATGGGTTCGAAGGTTCAAATTCGGGCTTTCACTCCTGAGTTGCATGTGCTTTCTGCCCATGTGGCCATCTCCTCAGCACTGAAACGTAGTCACTGAGAGGCCAAGTGTACATTGCTGTACTGCAGTGGCTTAATAAAGCAACCCAAAGCAAACCGAATTATTATAATAAAGCTAAATCTTTAATTAAAAGCAAGAACAGAAACATGAGAACCAAAATGATCTCAGCACAACCTTGATAATGAGTGGTACCTAAGTGTCCTTCCCAAGGATGACAGCAGGTCAAATGATCAGAGCGTGTGCTGTAACGCAGGAGGTCTGTGGGCCAGGGCATCACCAGTAGAATATCAAAGCAGCATTCTCAGCAAGTTGTTCTGGCTTACAAACACTGAATTTCGGACTCTCTAAGACATTGACTTGAAAGTCTTTTAGAGTGTGTAATAACTGATGAGAAACACCTAGAGTTTGGATCTGTCGTCTGCTCATCACCACCCAGTGAGGGGCACTTGTGATGACTCCTCTAAATTAGAATGCCTAACTCAAGAAAGGATCGTAGGGATAGGGACATATTTTGAACCTTGTGCCCCAAACTTAACATTAAGATTTTTGGTTTATATAAATCACAGACAGCAGGGTGTTCTTCCCAGGTGGCCAATGGAGGCCAGTCCCCTGGGGAACCATTTCACCTCCCCTCTATGGTTTATAGAGGCCTTGGAGCAGCCCAGAGTGACCTCATAGGAGACAGTGAGTTGTGCCATGGCTACACAGTATCGCGGATTCACAATGCTCTATTCTGTGTGGATATGTGTTCAAAATCTCAATTCCCAGATTGGCATTCCATGAGTGGAGTCTACTGGGAGGTCTTCAGGTCACAGGAGTCACGCCCATGAAGAAGACAGTGCCCCCCCCGCCCAGTCTCCCTTTCCTTCCCATCTCCATTTCTTCATTGTTATAACTTAGATCTGAAAGGTTCTCAGATCTCATGTGTTGAAGGCTTAATGACCGGTTGGTGGCACTATGGCAAGGTGACAGGGCCAGCAGAGCGCAAACCTCATTGACAGACGGCCTGGGGGTGGGACCTCTTTATAGGGATAGGTTCCTGAAGGCTAAATTTTGCCTTAGGCTCTGGCCTTCTCTGCTTCTTGACCCTCAAGAGACAAACAGCTTTGCTCAGCCATACTCTTTCATGCTGTTTAGCTTTACCTCAAAAGCTAAGCCAAAGACAGACTGAAGCCTCCAAAACCATGATGCAAAACGAGCCTTTTCTCCTTTAAATTGTATTCTGAGAATCTTGTCACAATGATAAAAAGCTTACTGAAAAGACCCACCATGGGGTAAGCAGCTTTTCTTTGTCAAGCGCTTTCACCACGGTGGCCTCGCCACAGGCCCAAGCAACAGGATCAGCTGATTTGGGACAGAAACCTTCAACACTGTGAGCCCAAGGCATCCCATTTCTTCTATAAAGTGGTTATTTTAGGCATCTGTTAGAGTGACGGAGAGCTGACAGCACCCCGCTCCAAGTACAGAAGATGACCTGTAAACGCTGTAGTGAGCACAGTAGGTCCATCACTCCCGTGAATCCCTCGGTGAGCAAGGTACAGAATAGACAAGATCCTCACTAACCACACAATCAATGGATCTGGCCTCAACCCACCACAACAGTAAAGCCATCAGGCTGTTTTGCAGTTATGCAGGGTTGGGGAGGAGGCTCCCACAGACCAAGATTAATCCCTGCTTAATGCTTAGTGTTTTGACACCTGTCTGTTCTCAGAACCCTTACAACTTTGCCTCTTCCTAACTCAGCATCCTCAGATTTCTCTAGACTCTCAAATCCTTTCCATAGAAACACAGCTTTGAGAATTCTCCTAGGGATTGCTAAAACATTCTCTTATTATGGCATGATACCACAAGCAGGGAACTTTCAAGTAAAAGAAAATTCATTTAAAATAGTCATAAATGTGAAAATTTATAATAAAATTTCCTATTTCATAAATAATGTCACTATTTCATATATATTGCTTAATGGATTAATTATATAAGAAAAGGACATGTTTTGCCAATAACATAAAATACATTTTAGCACCAAAATATACCCTAAAATGTCAAAATTGAAATTAAATTCATATTATAGAATCAAACAAATTAAAATAGCTGCATTTTTTGGAATTCTTGTTTTCTGAATATATAATCTGATACTTTTATAGAAGTCCTCTTTTGTCTGAAAATGAGGGAGTACAGATTATAATTTCAGGTTTAGATTCTAAGTACTTCTTGGAAAATTGTGAATAGTCTTAATTCCACAAACTCAAACGCTGCATTATATAAAATCCAATATTGTATTTTCTATTTTTAACAGTGGCTTTTAAATGAAGTTTCCATTAGCATAGCATAATGTGGGGGTTTCATACAGATGATGCCCTCAGTTACAGAATTACCAAGTTTAACCTCATTATTAGCTTGCAGAATCGGAAGCTTCTGAGGCTTTACGCACACACTTAAACAAACTGCTCACTTATCCAGAAAGAAATCGGCCCAGGATGGCCTCACAGCACAGTCAGGTCTGCTGGGGCTGGAGACAGTGTGTGGCCAGATGGGAGAGCACAGCCTTCTATAGCGCTCTACCGACGGCCTGGATCCTCCACATACCGAGGGACTTGCATCCTGCTTATTGTCCAGGAGAAACACGTGACTAGGTACTCATTTTAAAACAGAAGAAAACAGCCATTGTTTTAACATGAAGTTTCAAGACTATGTTCACTCCAGAGGAAAAATCTAATTTTCTTTCTTGTACACTGAAACTTTGTTGAGCTTTACAATAATAATATTCAATGCATTTACATCTACTCCAACTTAAGACAAAAGCCTCTTTGCTCTAAAATGTGTATGCTCCACTATGAGCTGGCTGGTCTGGCTTTCTGTATTTCCTTGCATCTCATTTCATGAAAAAGTGATAAATGGCTATTTCAGATTCTCAAACCACTCTAACGTTCAACTCACTTTAATCTCCCATCTGCACCTATTCTCCACCAACAACTGCTCTTGCAGACTTAACTGGGGATGTGCATGGTACCAAGGCTAACACGTTTTCTGGCTTACTGTGTGGCTAGCATTGGCTTGAATGCTTCCTCTACCCAAGGCAGCTTGATCAGCAGAATGAGTAGCAGTCCTTTCCATGCATTGCTCAGGTTGCTTTGTGGCAACCTCTTTTGTTGGGTTTTAACCTTATTTTTGAAAGTATGGCTGCTCTTGAGGGTCAGTGACCCTTCCCTCCTTCTTACTACTTCATCCTAATGATACATTTATCCCTAAAGGTTTCAAATATTCTCCACAAACCAAGGGACAGTTCTTCCTCCAGCCTAGACCTAACTCCCAAGTTCAGCTTCCCTAAAAACATGCAAGCTCCACCAGAGGGAGCGAGCGCCATGTCTGCTTTGCTGTTTTGTTCTCAGCACGCGATGGATACCTCATAGCACATGACATGTAGTGGTAATCAATAAGTATTTGTTGAAGAGACCAATCATTCATTCATTTGTTCTCTAACCTCCAGTTGGCACATTTCCCTCTCCAGGCCTTAGTTTCCATCTGGAAATAAAGATGACAATAGCAGCTCCTTTCCAGGTTTGCCTCAAGGCACATCACAGTGAACATGAGTGCAGTTTATGAATTAAAAAGCAATATGCCAGTGTAAAAGACGCACATGCGTGCACACACGTAGCTTGTAAAGGCTAAAATATTTACTTCTTGGACCCTTATGAAAAAACCAAGTTTGTTGACCTCTAACATAGAAGAGTATCTGGGTTTAAGTAAATATCACGAGTTAACGAAAGAATGGCTAATTCCTTGCAGGTCTATGTGTACTGTAACATGCTGTTAGGGGAAGGCAATCCTCCTTCGGGCTGGTTCCCCCTCTACTTAAAGCAAGTTGTCAAGGTATCAACACATAGCACCACCGTCTCCCCCAATGCTGTTTGCCTTAAGTTTAAGAAAGTGCAATTGATACACATTTCCACTTTCCCCTAATTATATCACAGGACTCTGGAGGATGGAGTAGAGATGGAAGTTTGGAAGGCATGAAGCCATCTCCACAAGAAAGCTGGTAGCTGTTCAGTACCCAAGTCCAAGTCTACAGAAATCTACTTACTGTTGCTACAAAATACACAGATTTTATTCTTGGGGGAACCCTATGACCAGAGTTTAGAAATGGGATATCCATAGAAGGGGTCTATATTTATTACAACAAAATAAAACACCAACCCAATACTACACAAAAGGGAAAAGGAATTTGGAATCAGTCACTCAAGACTTAAGTTTGAACCCTACCATGTGTTCCGCATGTGACTTTGAGCAAACCCTTACTCCCTGTGAACTGAGTTTCCATCTCCAGAAAAGAGAGTGGCACCACGGGTGGTCCCAAGGAGGTGGCTAACATGAGCCAGTGATTCACTCCATCTTGTGATAAAAGCATCATCAGCAACAGCGTGTGGGTAAAGACACGGAAGCTCAGATGTGCTGACCGACTTGCTTAGAGAAGCATTACTTAAAAGGCCCTGTCTGCATAGTGCAGCCTCAATGAAGGCTCTACGTCAGCTCTGCATGCTTTATCTTACATATATTAGAGCCTACTAGCTAGGAGGAAAGGTCAGAATCTCGTTATGCTATGATACTGTCAGTGTATACTCAAAAGGGGGGTGGTTCCTCCAATGTTCTATCGTAATTCTGGGCTATTATCTTTAGAAAATAGTGGAAGAGAATGTGTGCCTTTCTCTGCATGTAATGAGAACACCCCAAGTATCAAAAGCAAAACTATAGGAAAGTATTATGTGCTGAGCATACAGCCGGTTAGTTTAACAATCCTAATGTCCACTTATTGCACAGGAACTCTCCTGTCTGTGACGCTGCCACACTCAGTGTGCAACTGAAGACGCACATTACCTTTCCTGCATCGTCTCATGAACCCTCCCGTGTTGGATGCACTGTTCCTCCAGTTCATCATTTCTCTTCTGTAACTTCTCCAACTTGTCACACACATATCTTTTCTCTTGACTGAGGCGAACTATTTCCGATCTAGAAGGGGTAGAGAAACAGAAATAGTAGAAATAGTAGATGGTAAAGAGTCACCTTACTAGATTGTATTTTTATTGTACAAACCTTTGCACTCTCTTAAGCTCTATATACAAGGAATAATAATGAATAATGAAGGAAAATATTTTATATATCAAAGAAAATATTTCAGCAAATTCAAAATGCTGTGTAGAAGAGTATGTACATCAAAGGGACTGTCGTTACAGCACTGTAGAGATCCAAGCGAGCTCTAGTTACAATGGGGACTGACCTACCACAGAAGTCTATATTCTGAAAAGCACTGTCTTCCCTCCTTTCCCACCCTGCTCCTAGACCGCACACAGTTCTCAGGGCAGTAACGGAGTGGAGGATGACCTGCACTCAGATCCAAATCCCCAGGTGTCTCCATGGTGACAGCTGATGTCTTTCAGGACACAAACTACATCTTCAGTGTCTTAGATGACAATCCCAACTCTTAAACATTTGCAGATCAGGAAGATATCCAAGGAAAGCTGTGTCCTTTTTAAAAAGCAAGTCGCCAGCATTGACACCATTTCCTCATGTCTACTGTCTCATCAGGTCAAAGCCACAGTTAAATTTCTCTACATTGAAAGTCATTTTTAAGGTAATCAAAAAATACTTTTGACATGAAATTAGATCCTCCCCAGAAAGGACTGCTTTATGATGCAAGAGTGACTTTTGCTCTAGTCAGGAAGACTTTGGATTCGCTAGGGGAAATCTTACCCCACGAACTGTTCATCCCAAAGTCCATGATGCTGGCAGGGGAGGAGAAATGTCAGTTCAGCCCACCCTCCCTTTGTTATTATCTTTGCCGCACACTGCAGGGAGCTTGCTCAGACCAGCACCTTCACCTTGCATACCTCGGCATGGCTGTGAAACCACCTCTGTTCACCCAGACATTTCCTCAGAGTTCCCTTTCTCAACTGTGCTCTATGCCTCACCGTTCTCACCGGTTTCCAGATAAGACAGAATACAGCTCAGCTCCCTTTTACGCTCAGCTCAGGTACTCTCTCTGCATTTGCCTCTCCTGCTATAAGTACACCCTCATTGACTGAACTAGTCCACATCCCCGAATAAACGACTCATGTCTATCCATTCAAAATCACACACAATACAAAAAGTAATCTAGAAGCTATAATAATATTTGAATTTAGTATTTCCCAAACTAGCATCTCCTGTCATATACTGAAATAAATTCCAAAAGGAAAAAAGTCCTTAAACCAGATTAAGAAAATAATAAAATCCATGGTCCAGTGGTGGTGGTGGTGGTGGTGGTGGCAGTGGCACACGCCTTTAATCCCAGCACTCTGGGAGGCAGAGCCAGGCAGATCTCTGTGAGTTCAAGGCCAGCCTGGGCTACAAAGCAATATCCAGGACAGGCACCAAAACTACATAGAAAAACCCTGTCTTAAAAACCAAACAAACAAAAATAAATAAATTAATTAAATAAATTAAAAAAATAAAATAAAATAATAAAATCCATGGAAAGGAACCCGCACCTAGCCTCAGGCTGCTTCCAAGAAAAGAGGTGCCATTTTCAAAGAAAAGCACAAAGAAAAATAGACAATATCAAAATATAAAATGTTCACATATAAAAAAATCATATATTTGAAAAGCCATATGTTTATGTTTATAATCATTGTAGTAATCCTTATAGAGAGAATCTTTGTCTAAACAGAATACATGGAAATTTGATCAAGAATTCTACCAACAGGGCATTGGCTATCTTGCTCATATGATAGAAGTTATTAATTGACCTAAAATGTAATATTTTGATAAGAAAGGGGAAACATTAAAATCAGCATGCATAATGCAATTCTACTTTACAACTAAGTTATTTGGGCATGCACCAAATATTAATACTGATAATTTCTGGATGGCAGAATGTTTTCCCTTTTGTTTGTCTATATTTTTCTTATTTTATCAAGTTTTACAATGGACTTGTATTTTAAAGGTTATTTTGAAAGCAATTTTTAACGGCAAAATGAAAGGTGAACGGGAACAAGGGGGACGTTTTGAGAAGGTCAGGGCTGTTGGTGAAGTCGGGACTGTTGGGGTGGGGCGGGCAGGGAAGGCTCCTGGTGAGGATCTGCACACTCAGGACTGTGTACCTACTGCTTGATTTTACTATGAGCCTAAACTGCCCTTAAAAAGTTTATTAATTAAAAATAAAACATTACAAAAATATTCATGAAAATCAGACAGATGACACCATTAAAGTGCTGTAACCAACAAATTTTCTGTTCTGAAAAACAGACAAAATATGCAAAATTTCCCTAGAAGGCAGAACATGAAATGATATTTATAAAATCATCAATTTTATTACCATTTGAAGAAATGCATAATAAGATTTGATATTACTGTCAAATATTTATTTCATCCCTACTCTGTACCAAATCCATCTTTTGATGATCTCAAATACCCTAGGAAGTAGTTGTGAATTTCCTTTCTCTGTGAGGGAAATGCAGTTGAATGAGTTGTCTAAGGCTAGCAATGGCCAGTCCTGTGTGTGGGTCTCTTATCCTATGTGTCCAGCTCTGAAGGGACAGTTCTACCCACAGTGCAATGCTCATGGTCATCCTTTTTTCTTTGAACCTTTTACTTCTTGCTGTCACATATTTATATAGGGACATATGTACTGAGAAGAATTTAATTCAATACCTAAGCAAAATAATACACATTAGCAGCCTTGAAGAGTGTGTCTGGCTTTTGAAGTAGCAATTCCCTTTTAAAAGAATCATCAAAATTTGTGTACAAAGTTATAGTTCTATTATTACTACAGTAGTTAAAAGTTGGAAATGTCATAAACATCGAATGAACACGAACAAGTGATTGATTACAGTCTTGTTTCTGGGGTATTCACTGACAGAGAAACATGTTCATTAAGGAGACAGGTAGAAAGCAGGTGTAAAACTGCATAGACTGCATGAACCTATCATGATAGAAGCTGTTGTAGAGGACACATTTACATACACATGACAAGAAGCATATAAAAAATAGCAGTGATTTTCTTGAGATAGCAATGTCACAGGAAAATGTTTCCTTAATTTTTCTTTATGATTCCCTACAGTGAGATGTCTTCAGTAAGCACAGGAACATAAATGTTATTTTTAAAGTATAGATTACTGTAATATGTGCTATTGTAACTGTCTTCCCTGCCTTGTATACTTTGGGATTTCCCCCCTTTATTTATAATGGCAACTTGCCTACCAGCTTCTGTCACACAATACAGCTTCGCTCTGTGTGTACATACAACATTCTTTATTTGGGTAGTGCTGACGATATAGTAATACAACCAGTGGTCTGCAAAGTGACAAGAGAAAACAGAAAACTAGATCTGCCCTATTCCCATATAAAAGGAGAAACGACTCTAATTCATTTTCATAGAAACGTAGGTACTTCCTGGTTTTTTAGAAGCATGAACTTGCCCTGCATTTTATGTAGCAGCTACAGCGTGTAATTGCATTTGCATGAATGGAAGACATTTTACTACTATAATTCAGATTAGAATGATAATTGCTTTTAAAGGAAAAATATGACACCTTAATTTTTTTATTCTTTTGGATTCTGGTTTGACTTTTGGTAACAATTAACAAAAAGAAGGTCAATGCCAGTCTCCTTTTGTAGAATATAATTTTTGTAGCAGCCCAACCTCACATCATCTAAACATGCAAAGAGAAAAAATAGTTCAACCGGGTGTGTGTTCTTTTACTTCAATTAAGCTCACACAGTTGGATACCTACTGCTGCCAAAACAGTAATATAATTTATACATTATAGTCCACATAGTAAAACTACACTAAAAGTCATTTAACAATATTTATAACACCATAAAATACAGTGTTAAAATATATGAACTGCAATATGTACCAAAATTATAAAATTTGTTTCTCATCATCAGTGATTAAAGCCAGGATCATTACTCTAGCCTCAATACTCACAACCCTGGTGACAGATTAGAATTCAAATCTTAATGATCAATTTACAATTAACAAGATAGAAGTGAAACAAATTAAACCAACCATTATATATAACGAGACCCCATGGACTCCCATTGTTCCTCTTAATTACAAAACGCAAATCACAAATACACAATGGGCAGTGCGAGACATCAATCCCCGGCCTAGCAACCCAGCAAGTGACAGCGACAGGCAAAACCACAGACCCAGCTCTGTGCTCATTCCTATCCTCCCAGCGTGCAAGGAGAGAGGGACCGAGACCGGGACAAAGTGTGCTTCATGCCCACCATGTAAGGGCTCCGTCAGCCTGGCCACAGGCTCATCTGCAGCCAGTGCCCAGCATTTCCTAGGGCTTCCCAGACCAGGTTTTCAACCAAATGCAAACCGTGCATTTTAATGTGGATTTTTCCAAATGTCTAGGGAGAGAGAATACTTGCTTCACTTTGATAAAAAAAAAAAAATTGCATGAAAGATATTTAAGTCTATCTATTTACCTGCCTCAACAACCTCATAATTATGTAAGTTATCAATGTACTAGAGGATACAGAGGGAAAGGGGTAAAGTTTACACTTCAACTAAAACCAGCCAGAATGTCTGCCTAGTGTCAATTAAAAACAAAAGGGAATCAATTCTCTTGCCTTGTGATCAAAAACAAGCTATGAAAGATGTAAAGTATGAACCAGGATTTCAGTCTTCATTTTAAATGGGGCATGCCATTCACAATGCTTGCGGTTTCAGGCACCACTATATGCACAGTGTGGAGTATCACACCGCTAAGTGTCACACCTCTATGGCTTCAGAGGCTTCCGAGACAGACGCAGTGTCATTGTCATAATGCGATGTACAGTTTACTCTGGGACAAAATGCATCACAACACACACACACTCACACACACAGACACAGACACAGACACACTAACAGACACACACACACACACACACACACAGACACACTAACAGCAGACACACACACTCACTCACACACACACACACACAGACACACACATCGAATTTCAGTACATTTTCCGAAATCAGCCTTGCAGGAGACTGGGCAGAGAAGCAGGATGTGTGGGCATGGAGAGCCCAGACTGTCAGCTTCTCTAGTGATGAGCTCTAGTCAAATGCCTAGATCTATAAGTGAGAAAGCATATTTTCAATGCTGAGACCATTTGTTTAGAGTGGCATTCTGAATAACACAAAATGCTTACAGAAATTTTAGCAAGAAAAGGGGGAAATATTTTTTATTTATAATAAAAAAATCATGTTTTATTTTCATTAAAATTTTTCCTATAGTACTTTGAGAAAAAACGGAACTGAAATGACTACATGGATTAAACAATTATTCTGGAGACTGAGTTTCTATAGTGAGAGAACTTTACAAGCTAAGAAGCCCTCACTTCAGAGGCCAGCAGAAGTTCTTTATCCAAAAGTTTGGCACAGAGCGCATAGATGCATGCCCCGAAGTGATGTCTTATTACATTATTATTCTTATTTCAAAAGAAACATTCTGAGTTTTTTGGGCTTTATAGATGGTTTCTCAGCAGAAGGTAACATCAAAATGGAAGGTCAAATCGGGCATAAAAGAAAGGGTGAAAATGTCTTAATTCCTTGGAAATCGGGGGAGAAACCAGGTGGGGCTGACAAGAAAACACACACAACCTTAAAAACACAACTTATTTCAAATACTGTTTTGTGAAACACATAAAAAGTATCAAAATAGAACAGTTTATTGATGTTCACCACTTGTAAGGCCTTGGCTTTGAATGAATTCATGGGTTAAGACGCAGAACCTGGTGTCAGCGCCTGCCCCACAAAGTCAAACCTGTGTTTCCGGTTTGGTTCTGTTTGGCCTACAGATATTTTCATTGCAAAACAGACTTTGGCCATTAGAAAATCTTTTTTTTTTTTTTTAGATTTATTTATTAATTATGTATACAGTATTATGCTAGCATGTGTCCCTGCAGGTCAGAAGAGGGCACCAGATCTCATTACAAGTGGTTGTGAGCCACCGTGTGGTTGCTGGGAATTGAACTCAGGACCCCTGGAAGAGCAGTCGGTGCTCTTAACCACTGAGCCATCTCTCCAGCCCCGGCCATTAGAAAATCTTGCTCAGATCTTGCCAAGTTATGAAGCATGTGCTTCGAGAGCAGCCCCTGTCCCTTACGACGGGGTGGGAAAGCACTGTGCTGGGTCTTCCAGCTGCCTTCTCCAGCTGTGGGTTCTTGGGCAGCTCGGCCGACCACAGATGGAGATGCTGGGTCTGCACTGGGCAGGCACACAGTTCTGTGGTTATTTTGTACCCAGTACAGTTTAACAACTAGTCACATGGTGTCTGCACTGTATTGGGCACTACAGGTAATGTAGAGGTAATTTCAAATATATGGGAGATGGCTTAAAGCGTTGTTCTGTGCTGGACTACCGGCCTAGCATGTGTTAGGCCCTGGGTTCCATTTCTAACACCACAAAAATAGGAAATAACATAAAAAATAAAATATGTGGGAGAACATGGGCAGGTTCCGTGTACCTACCACATCGTTTTATGTTAAGAACATGAGCATCTGTCATCTGTGGATTTTGGTATGGTGTCAGTCCGGCAACCAACACCCTGTTTGTCGAGGGGTGACAGTACACAGTATGGGTGCTTGTCATCCTGTCATTAAACGTCCTTTTCACTCCCACAGCCCCCCTGTGCCGTGGCTGGAGAAGTACTTTCACAGCTGACAGAGCTGAGGTGCAGGGAGACGGGCTCCACAGTCAAGATCACAGACAGACACAGCAGAGTGAGCGACAAGCAGGATTCAAGTCCAGTTCCTCCTGAATCGAAAGAGCTCCTTCCTGCGCCTGCCTGTCACCCACAAAGGAACAGGCTGGCACCAGAATCAGACCAGCATGTGGAGGGGAGCAGCACACCTGTTCTTTCTATTCATTTATCATTCATTCAATAAATATGCATTGGGTGCCACCTATGTGTCGGATATGAAGGAGCATGATCAGTGTACAAAGCCGTGGTCGGGTGAGAGGTGCTGAGCCTCAGGCTCACTAGGTTTGTCCCAGGTTTGACTGACTAATTTAAAGTAGGAAAGTCAGAGCCCAGGGCCTAGTCCGGTGAGCCCTGGCTCTCAGTTTAACTATTACATCCCAAGAATGTCGACTTGCCTCAGGGATTGAAAGGTTAATTTTTTCCTTCTTAGCCTCTCCAACAAGTAATACTGTCACTGAGCAATCCTCTCATCTCCCTTCTTCTCTTTTAAGAGGCAGACTCTTGCTATGATGCCTAGGCTGGCCTAGAACTCCTGGGCTCAAGAAATCCCCCTGCCTTAGCCTGCTGAGTTGAGACTGCAAGTCAAGTCACTATATCCAGCAAGTCTAAACTTTCTTTAATGGTATATTTAAGTATCATCACAGACTTAAGACTCTAGACATTGGTAACAGGAATACCTGGGCAAAAAACTCCCACCCAAAAGCTATTCCAACAATTATGTTTTTTTTTTTTTCAATCTGTAAAAGAAGCAAATTACTGTCATATGCTGTGGTGAGAGTTAAGTATGTATTATTACAAGCACCTTTGCCTCCTCAATGTCTGGAATGATTAGCATTAAAGACAGCTTCTGTGTGTTCCCAAAGAACTGTGGAAATAGATTAAAATGCATTACCAATATCGACATAAGATTGTAAAACTGCTTGACCTATTTGTATTCTTTATTACGGCAATGGTTATTTTGGCCTTTGTTCCTGAACTTTCATGGTTTTAAAGTCGAAACATTATAAAAGCCATGTAAGTAAGTACACATAACCATGAAAAAAATCCAAGTTGGGAAGCGGGTAGAGCTAGGTGAAGAGCGCTTCGTTACTGTGCACAAGGCCCTGGAGTCCATCCTTGGGACTCAAAGGTTGTCTACATGGACAATCACAAAAATATCATATAGGAACCTGTTTTCACAGAAACTTACATAAACAGAGGACTAATTTTAAGGTTAGATTACAGTGTATAAAATGCAATTTTAAGGCTAAATTTTAGCTATCAAATAAACAGTCTTCTGAGAATATTCTATAATATTGCCCAGTCACCTACCTGCTTTTTTGTGAGATTTTCTCCAGCTTCTTGGCTAATGTGCAGCATTCTTCCTTTAACTTTGTCAGAAATGTATTCTGGGAGGTCAGCAACGAATACTGTTCATTTTCTAGAAATAACAATAACCCCACCAATATAAGATGTTTGTGGCTTTGCTCTGTAGGCTTCCAATGCACAGTGAGTGCTAAGTGCTTCAGAACACTGCGTCCTGCCTAGAGCCACCAGACCACTGCCGGGGTCCTGAGTGCAAGGACTTATCATCTGGGGGGACACTGACTCTTGTGAGGCGTTTATTTTCATAATATATTTGTATACCCGGAATAATTTTGATCATATCAGCTTGTGTAACATTTTAGCATGCTCATAAACTGTCAAATATCTCAAATGAAGTCATAAATGCTTATATCTTTGAAGTATGCAAGATATTATATTTTTATTTTGACAATTTTACTATAAACAGTGTCAAAAATTCTCACAACCAGATAATTCGAAACTAAAACCGAGGAATTCTCTGTTACACTGTAGTTGATGCTCGACAGTTCTTATCTCATATTTTACCCCGTGGAGCCTGCATATTCTCCAGTTATGAGGTGAAATTACACCACTGCCCTAAAAACTGGATCATACTTTAATAGTATGTGTTTCATTAAAGCTCTGGCTAGGGACTCAAGAGAATGTGGCTTGTATTTATTTGCAAAATAAAAGATTTTAAAGACGATTTTAACCGTTAAAAACCTTACCCAACCCTCAGATTCTGCCCAAGACTCTTGGACCAGGACGGTTCTGCTAGCAGCAGCCAAACGACAATTTCTCCTATGAATTCCTCTTTGTGTTTTAGTAAAAAAAAAAATCTACAAAATCTTGAGGGCTTTCCTTTCTTCTGGCTAATTGCTGAGAAGAAACTATGTGAGGCAGCATGATAGCTGCCTTTATAAGTAAATAAATCATTTAATAAGTAAATAAATCATTAATGAACAGAATATCCATTTGTTACCAATAGGTGGAATCATTTTTTACCATACCATTAAATATAATATTCATTAAATCCTGTGAAATTCATCTGTAAGTAATTTTTTCCTTTTCAACTTAAGCTAATGGTCGCGAAAAAAAGCATATAGCATACAAAGCAAAATAAATCAAGGCACTAAAATTAAGCAACATTTTTTTTCTAGAAGAGACAGGATCAATTAAACTTTTGTTTTAATGGTACAATCAGCGTGGAGTATGTGGTGTGGAATTATAATGACTGACACTGTCTTGTTTTGACTAACACTGTCTGTGAACACACAACTCAAAAGCGAAAGGAACTACATAACGCTCTGACTGCACCCATCAAACTGCCTATTTTCAAAGTGCATTTTACTTTCAAATTAAAGGTAAAGAGTTACTGGCCAACTCAGTCTGCAGAACAGTGCCAATGTGATGAAAGATGGCGATTTTTAGCCAAGCTGCCAGCTGTGGTCCATGCCTTGTATTAGCGAATTTTAACAGCAGTTGTGAGAAGCTGAAGAATGCAGAGGATTAAGCATCACTCTCGACTGCATTGGGGGAGGTGGGGAAATCATACAAATGCTAAAAATGTTCGAAGCTGCAAAGATTAAATAAAGGAACATATCAATTTGGAGCCGCTGAATTACATCCAGCTGCGACAGTGAATTAAGAACCGATTAATGGCTAAAGCTTTTCTCCAGTTTGGATGCTGAGGCAAACTCATTAGGCTTTAGAGTAGCTATAATGTGTGTACTGTGGGAACTGTTCAATGCTATTCAGGAGACTCTAACTGTAAGCTCGGAGCATTTCCCGCAGAGCTTCTGATGCTATTTTCTTTATATAACATGTGTGCCTGAAAACCCAGCCAAAAACAAGCCCTTTGTTTTTCTACTTTGTTGTGGTCTCTCTCAGCTTTACGTTTCTTGAACACAGGTAAATAAACTCATAATCCAGATGGTGCAACAGATGTGAGAGCAGCACTCTGAAATCAACAGACAGTGGGCAATACTTTCCATTTTCTCTTTTAAACGCTAACTAATATGTAATTCGGAATCTCTGGTGTAGTTAGCATCTGCTCCCTTCGGCCAGCCAAAGGTTACAGGTGTTCCTGATGTCATTTCACAGTAAGGCGTGGGCCTGGCTTGTGAGCAAGTGCCCAAGCTCTAATCTCTGCCTACCACCCACCAGTTTTGTCGTGCTGGGCCTCCATTTGCTGTATCTTCTGTGTCAGCTCCTGCTCTCTCTGCTGGGCCTGAAGGGCTCGGGTCTTTGCTTCGTTGCTAAAGCTTTGCTGAATGCTATCTTTTTCCAGTCTGCAAAACAGAGAGACGGGCAGAGACGTAACCTGCAGGTGCACAGACCTCCATCGTTCCCCCACAGACCACAGACATCAGACAGGGAGGGAAGTAAAGCAGCACAGGCTGATCTCCCTGCGGTCTCTCCACTCTGCTGAAGACAGAGAATCCGAAGGACCATCCAGTGGAACCCAGGCGCCACAAGTCCAGACGGACTAAAGGGCGAAGCTTTAAAAATGAAAACAAAAATCCTAACAGCTACACACTTGTAGTTTGGAACCTGGTTGTGTGTGTGTGTGTGTGTGTGTGTGTGTGTGTGTGTGTGCGTGCGCGCGCGCAGGTGTGAAGGTCGGTGGACACCTAGTGGGAGAGGGTTTTCTGGTTTTCTCCATTAGGTATGTGGCCCTGGGTCTGGACTCAGGCCCTTAGCTTCTCCCTTACAAGCACTCTTGCCTGCTGAGCTGTCTTGCCAGCCCTGGGTTTTGCATCTTCCCAGCACACATACACACTCTTCTGTTGTTGCCGTTGTTCTATTCTTTCTGTCTTGTACTGTCATTAATCTTTCATCTTCTCAACGGTCACTATTTCCTAAGATTGTGAAATTCTAGGAAGAACGTGACTTAGTTCCTAGTTTAAGCAACATTTATTTTAAAACTAAGCCTTGTGGACTACTTCTGGTTTTCTTCCAAGATGCAAGATACAGCTTCAAACACACTGGAGGAGACTGGAGAGGAGAGGCCAGCACCACATGCCTGCTTTCATTAAGTACATCAGGCTGCACTCTGCGAATGGGACAGGAAGGTGAACATGAACTACTTCCCTCATCACTCATGAGAAAACATCCTTTTGGGTCATGCTGTCAAGATCACAGGCTGAAGACAGCACCCTATCAGTGGCTCTCCTTAAAAGAGAACTTCCTTCGGTTGTTTTGTTTTGTTGAGCCTGGTCTCATGTAGGCAGGGTGGCCTCCAACTTGCTATGTAGCTGAGGAATACCGTGGATTGATGATCTCCTGCTTCTCCCCCCTGAGTGCTGGATCATACACATGCACCATCGTTCCCGGCTTTGGGAGGTCTGGGCACTGACCCCAGGATTTGGTGCATGTCGGGCACTCTACCTCCTCAGCTGCATCCCCATCCAGAGAGGAACTTTCTAAAGTCGAGCCTGAGCAAGGGCAAGACCCTTGTCGCACCAACACTGTACGTATGTTGCAAATAACATTTGAAACCCTTGCTGGGTGGGTTCTTCAAGCTCCATGAGAACCAACACAAGGGTTTCCTTCAATTAAGTGACTCAGTTATTTCAAACTCCTGATCTCCTTGTGGGCATTTCTCATCCATGCTGCTTTAGTTTACTAATTGAGATATTTACTGCCTAGCCTTTGCCAAACTAAAAATAAACAATTCCATAAAGCTATCACTACCAGTCTATGTACCGCTGTGGAACTTCAGTTCACTGGCTTCTAATTATACGGCAACATAAGGAAAGCCTGTACTGAGATTGGTCAATGCATGTGGTAATGTTGTAGTGTAAAGCCCCAGAATGAAAATACACCCACACCTCACTCAAATGGAATCATCAGGGGTCCATGCTAAATGTGAAATAAGGTCCCTTCTGGTACTTCTAACAACAACACCCCCCTGGATGTGGTCCAAGGTCTTGTCTCACACTCAGTTCCAAACTAGTATATCGCAACAAATGGATAGTCAGACGAGGCTACTTTTGCCTCCCCCTTCACACCACGTATTTTCTGGCTAAGGATCCTTGCACATGTTTCTTCCTCTTCTTGGAATGCCCCGGTCCACCCACCCAACCCCCTCCATGATGCACACTAGCCCTCTTGCGCAAACCTCAAAATCCTGCCCTTCTTTCTCCTGTCTCTCCTAAATCAACTACTCAGCCCTGGATGCCCTTAGATGTGCTGTGGCCATCCTATCGTGATATCATGCGTTTGCTATTGATTTACACGCCTTCTCCTCTGTAATCTTTAACTTTCTTTACCCTAAGCCCAGCTCAGTGCTCAGCACATGAAAACAGGCAGTGTGTATTAAATAACTGGTTTTTCTTATGCCCTGCCTAGGTTGTGGGGCTGTGGGTGGAGGAGTATTGAAGGGAAGAGGAACACAAAAGAGGGATAAGTCTTTAGGCAAAACTGGAGTCCTCTGTAAGCAGGCAAGACTCTCTCAACTAGGTTAACCTCAGTAGCACTGCATGTCACAGGCCATGCCGCCGACTTTAGAGTCTTCTGCATTCTCTCAGTAAGTAGCCATGTCCGAGTCTGAGCACTAGCTAGAATTCAAGACAGAGGCTGGGAGCGTGGAGATGAGATGGCTACAAGACTCTGCTGGACATGTATCTGAGGAGGGAAAGGGGGCATTATTCACAATGCCAGAAACAGAACAGAGATTGTATGATGCAAGCATGGACTAACGGTTCCCAACATAAACAATGGCAAACCCCAGCAGTGAGAAGCTGCCAGCACAGCACGTGACGTTCTGAACTGACTAGAGAAAGGACCACGGGCTGAGTTCTTTTCATAAAGCTAAGCAAAAGATCCCTGGCCACAAGCGATACTCTCCGAGAGAGGGTGTGCACGCTGTTTGCCATGGGATGAAGTGTGGTACACGGCTGCTTCCCACCTCCTTCCCACATCGCCAGTCCTTCCTGCTGCCCTCTCCCCGTAGAAGTCCTTTCTGATTAGGCCAGCTTTTCATGAAATCCTGGAATATCAGACATGAAAGGAAACCTCATTTTCTTTCATGTAACCCTCTCATTTTAAAGCTGAACAACAGCAAAAACACAATCCACTTTTTAAAAAAAAACCCTGAGGGCCATAAACAATTTGAAATCCACTCATAAGTTACATAGCGAATGATTTTAACACATAGATAGGAATAAAACTATCTTTGCTCAAGGAAACATATTTTATAACACTCTAGATATAATGTAATAGTGGACCTAAAGAATTAACAAAAACCATTCAGATATCCAAGGAAAAGATTGAAGAATTCAAATGAGCCACTAAGTATTTATTATTATATTTGTGGAAGACATTATAGGAGGCATTGTATTTAGTGAAAATAAACAAGGCTTAGTGAGCCTTGACTCTAGAAGGATTTCAAACTGGACGAACACGGTTGATGGCATAACACTCCCTGAGAAAAGGGTATAAGGAAGAAGGCTACCAAGGTGTAGAAAGCTGAGAAACCAAACTGCCGAGTGGCTTGCTCACATCATGAGGACAGCTCAACCAGCAACACCCCCACCACAGTAGGCTTTCTCTCGATGCTTCTCTCAGTTACACTTAACAAAGCTGGTACTTATCCCTATCATGTAAAGCAGAACACAAGTAATAATGTTAAAGACTTTCTTAGTAATCATATTCACACTGGCTAAAAACTGGAGACAGCCAACAGGTAACAACCTATTACCTGCTATATGAATCAAGTGTGTGGGATAGCCTAGGCAGAGAGAACCTAGAACCTCAGCAAGAATGGGAGGAGCTAAGGTACACACAACACCTGGATGAACCCTACCAGCAGTATGCCTAGAGGAACAGGACACCAAAACCACATTTATAATCTTGTGTACTTAGCAATCTAGATGAGTAACCCCAGGCGACAAAAGATCATCCATCGTTCCAGGTCCCGCTGACAGGGGATGGATATGAGCGAAATTTAGGGCTGACAGGAAAGGTTCTGTGTCGCAGCTATGACAGCTCAAACACTTTATGCACTTCTTACAACACGGTGAACTGCACACCTACTGTTTGTGACTTCTGCCATTTTGTCTGCTCATGGCTATGACTCCAGCATTGAAATGGTTGTGCCCAGTTTGGACTATATTGTGAGTCCCGGTCTCGAGGAAATTTAACTTTTATTGCACTTAAATTTAGTTCAAAAAAGCTAACTTTTAAAAGGAGCAAATACTGTAATAGTAGGAACCTCTACCTT